GAACCTCGGGTGCAGCGCTGGAGAGCGGGGGAGCCTCCCCGGGGAGCCCTGCGGTACCCCCGCTCACACGAAGCTGGTGCGGGCAGCGCGCCGGCCGCGCTCAACGAGGCGGCAGCGAGCGCGGGGTGAGCCGAGCACAGGGTCGGGGGGCAGAGCTGGGTCCCCCTGCAGCCAGGGACACGCAGCCAAAGCCACCACATCTCCCCAGACCAGCGCTTTGACAGGCAGAAAAGTCTGCAGGGAGCCCTCACCTGCAGCAGACCTCATGAAGGGAAGCATTTAGCGTCCCCAAAAGGCGGCATGTGCCCGGAGCATCACTGAGCATGGGAGGGAGATCGAGCCCAGATGAACACGCAGCTTCTTGGCCCGGGTCTCCATCTCTGTGCTGCACTGCACAGATCTGAGTGGTGGGAGAAAGCTGGGATCCATCTGTCACCTGTCCTGTGGTGGTTCCAGCGCTGCCACTGTCTGGGCACGAGCCTAGGTGTCCTATTTTTGGACTCTGGCATTCACACAAGAGGGACATGGTGCTAAGAATTGTTTCCCTCATTTACTGAGTTTGTGAGCAAAGGTGTTTAGGACTGCAGGAACCAAGCAGTCTCTGGTCTGAAGCATGAGCTGTAGTATACTGCAAGTTAGAAGGGAGCCGGCAGCCAAGGAAGCTGGCAGTCTTATTCAGTGCTCCTGCTGAGCGAGGTAGGTGCTGAGCTTTAGAGATTATTCTGGCTAAGACAGAGCCCAGAAGCAGCATTTCAAGTCTTGTCATGATTGCGGCTGATCTCAGCGCAAAGCCGGGGATTTTGATTGCTGGTGGGAGTGAAGAGGGAAAAGCAGCAGAGCTTTTTCCAGTTGTCCAAAGGCCACTGAGCAACACAGGGACATGCCCTTGGGCTGCACATTGCAGGGGGTGAGCGGGTGCTTTCAGCCAGCTGCTGCCAGAACAAGGGAGGGACAGGTGAGCATCTGGCTCTCTTTGTGGGGATGAGAGAAGAGATGAAGGGCACTCCATCCCAACCCCAGAAAGAGTTAAAAGTGAAGCCCTAAGTGCTCACCTGGCTCTGCCAGATCTTTCACCATCTATTTGTGTCCAAGCGTGCCCAGCAAACACACACTGAAGTCCCCATGAATGACTGGAGCACTTCCAGCTGACAGCCGCATCCCTGCTCACCGCCAATGGCGGTGCACCCAGCCTGGGAAGCACTGACATCATTTCTGGCCAATAGCAGCTCCGAAAAGGGATGCAGCAGCAGCCGCTGCCGCCGTCTTGGAGTGAGATAAGTAATATATAGATGGATGGAAATGTGTGTATACACACACACACCATCACTGCATTGGAGACTTGCTCCCCTGGGGTAGCAGTAGCAGCATATGCCACCACCCTGCCACACAGCCTGGGGTGTTTGTCCCACCTTAGAGCACCCAGATGTTCCTGGCCATCAACTCCAGCTGCACCCCACCCCTGCCAGTAAGATAGAATTGCTCCAGAGCTCCACAAAGGAGCACGGGCAAAGGGAGAGGACACCATGAGGGTAGCTGAGACTAGTCCTAAGAAGGGCTTTGAACTCTGAAAAATATCTTGAGCCAAGATCTGCCTTCAGTGGTGACTAATGGAGATGTGACATAACCAAGAGATGCCTTCATCTTGGGGTGGGCAGATAGGCTGATGCCTTCTCAGAGGCCATTTAGGTTCCTAGACTCATTGCAAGAGAGGACAGAGGAACAAGTGATTTCTTTTCCATATGGATATCAAGATCAGCAGGATAGACTGGCTCACAGCGGGACATGCAGACTGAGAGCAAGCCCATAACAACCTGGGGATTGTTTGTGATGGGATTTTTCTCATGGTCGTGCAGGGTGGAGTAACCATTTCTGGGTGGTGCCTGGACTGGTAAGTGCAGCAGTCCTGCATCAGGCAGAATGATTCTTGGGTTTGCCATGATGCTCAACAAGGATGTTTGCTCCAAAATATATCACTGAAGTAGCCCATTGCCAGGTGTGGAGGTAGCAGAGAAGACCCCTCATACAAGTCTGTGGCTTTCCCCAGACACCTGTTCCCAATGGCTTGTTACTCCATTTCCTCACAATTCTGCTTCCCAGGCCCCAGAGCCAGAACAGGGATGGAGAACTCCAGAAGGGGTTGGGATTTCCCTAGAGAGGGTCCCAGCACAGGGTAGGCAGCATGAGCAAGAAGGAGAACAGATGTGCTTGGTGCCTTGAGGTTAGTCAGATGTTATCAGCAGGGTGGGGTATGAGTACACCTTGCTCTCCAAGCTGACTTCATCCTCATCTGCAACTCCTCCAGGTTGGGAGGAGAGAGCAGGAAAGCAGAATGGAAATCACTCCAGTTTCATAAGATTACCTCTGCAAGGATAGCAAGCCAAATGCCAGCCTTTGAAGCTCTCGTTGGAGCAGGCAGAGTGACAGCCAATTTTAAACACACCACAGGCATCAGCACCCTCCATCCCTTCAGCTCTTGCCCTCCCACTACCAGTTCCAGTCCTTGCCACTTATCTGGGAAACGCTTCATCAAGAAAGCAGCACAGAGAGTCAGGGAAGCAGGCAGGGATGGAGAGCCTCAAGAATTGCTTTCTCATGGCAGCTGCCCCATTGTATGGCTGCTCCAGAGGATTCCCCAGCCCCAGGACTGTGAAACAGCTCATTGGGGCACTCTCTCCATCTGAGCCAGCTTGGCTGCTGGTTGGGATTCCTCAAGCAAAGCTTGGCATCATCTCTGGCAGATTTTGAGCTGGTTTGTCTGGTATGGCTGGTTTGGAGAACCACGCTAATCCCCATTTCTTCCTGCTCAGCTGGAAGATGCCTTAGGGTTCTTCATGCTGGAGCCCAGCACCATGCACTCCAGCCAGATGCTAACGGGAGTCCAGGTTTTTCCCCACACCACACTAGTATGCAAGACCTCACACGAGGCTGTGCATCTTTAGACGTTCCCTTGGCACGGCCGAGAGCACCAAGCGATGCCCTTTCAGTGCGGCGCTCAGACATCCGCTCACACACTCCTGACAGCGCCCGGCTGGCCTGCGCCGCCTCGCCAGGCCGTGCCATGCCAGGCCTTGCCAGCTCCTCGGCACCTGGCCAGCTGGCAGCCTGCGAGCCAGGCTCCTCCAAGACACGCTCCCAACGGAGCGGGGGAAACTGGAGCGGTGCTGAAGGGCTCAGGAGGAAACACGGCCCTCCACGGCGCAGGGGACTTTTGTACCAAGGGCTCATGGACAGCCTGGTTCCCACACAGAAGGGTGAGCAGACAGGTGATTTTGGAAGCATGTTGGAGTAGCGTGAGACTCACAACAAGGACTGGTCTCAGTTACATCACACCAAGGAAAAGGGCTCCCCTGATCAGTCTCATGCTGCCTCCCCAGCTTCACAATCACTCCAAGCAGTGGCTGCTTGGTGGCCATGCAAATCAGGTGTGATTTCACTATCCAGGCAAGGAGCTGAAGGGACAGTACCCTCCACATGGCTGGAGGAAGTGCCTCCTGACACCCTCTGCTCACAACTGGGCTCCCTCCCCCATCTGCAAGATGCAAAACCTTCCTTGCCTCTCCCAAACCTCCTGTTCTCTCTTGCTAGCTTAGCTCATGGCTCCTGGCATGGATGCCAGCCAGCTGCTGCCCAAATCTGGGCTTGGAGACATCGGGCACTGCTCAGCTGGGCTGAATGTTTTTCTTACCCTGCACATTTGCATTGGGAGGATTTGGAGGAAAACCCAGATGTACAATGCTGAACAGAACAGGCACTAATCCCTGCTCCAGGGGTGGTGGGGGGAGAGCTGTAATCCAAACTGCTCCCAGCTCACCTCTGATGGCTTTCACCTGCACAAACAGCAGAGGTTCCTGGGGGGTCCCTTTATGCCCCAGAGTTTGGGGGGAACCGTGTCACAGAGAGGGAGCTGTAGTCAAGGGTCTCTCACTACCCCTCGGCCAAGCCAGGTCTGCTCCGTGGCAATGGATTTGTCACCATGGAAACAGCATCTGCTCGGCCTGGGCCCCCCAGGAGGCAGCCGGACCCCTGCAGCATCCGCCAGCTACCATTTATTTTTAATCGGGCTCAGGAGCACCGGGTGGCTTTGTCTCCAGGAGGGCCCAGGGCAGCAGCAAGTGCTCAGCTCCCTGCAGCCCTTGGTCAGGGGGAGACAATCCAGACATCCCTGCAGCTCCAGTCAACAGGACCCTCTCATAGGGAGAATAAACATGGTTCAATGAGCAAGTCAGAGTTCACTCCACACTGTTTTCATAGGCTGCTTCCCACCACCTTTGACTTGACAGGAGTTGGGAAGGGAGGAATAAAGGCATGTCCAGGCTGGTGAGGGCAGGCCCTAGAGAGCACAGTCCAGTGCACAGGCCCTTGGCCACCGCCTCTTCCCATCTCCCCAGGCTGGAGCAGGGTCCCTGGGACAGGGTCTTTGCCTGGTTTGGTGAATGCAGCTTCCTGGACGTATGGAACATCTCCTTTGGGGAAGGAGAGGCCTGGGGTCAGGGTCTTGCTGAGGGACTCCATGGGGTCCCAAGAACACTGCAAGAGCAGTGGCTACAGGGCAGGAGAGCAGCACAGTGCTCTACGCTTTCCCTTGCTCACACAAGCAAAGTAGAGGAGCAGAGGGAAGTGATATGGGACACAGAGGATGAGGCAGCAGGCAAAGAGGTCAGCTCCAAGGCAAGTCCCTTAGGTATTGGCATGGGGCTGCAGCCTGCTCTGGGGAACCAGCTGCCACACAAGGCCAGCCATGAATGCCAGCCTGCTCCTCTGGCAGTGCCAGAGCAGTGTCAGCAGGGCTTCAGGCCCATGCCTGTCCTGTGAGACAATACCAGAATCCTGCCCCAACAGGCACCAGGGAGCTGGGCCAGCCCTCACTGCCTCCTTACAACTGGCACTGCCATTGGAGGTGAGCCAGGCCACCCAGCCATCCTCGCTCATGGGAGCAGAGGAACAGGACACCCCAGTAACCCCATCCAGGCTTTTTAGTCCATGGCAGTGGCATACCTATCCCCCTCTCAGGACACCACACAGCTGGGATATGGAGGGAACCCAGGAGTTTTAGTTCCCGGGCCCTGCTCCATCCTGCAGCTGTGTCAGTACCACAGCAGGATCACCTCAAAGCCACTGTGTCAACCAAGAAAACTGGCCTCATGTGAAGCACACAGGAACCCCAAACCTGTGCTTACATCCCCAAACATACACTGGCTCCACTATGCCAGCAGCTGCCCTCTGGGAACACTGGCCCAGCAGCAGGCAGGGAAGGAGGCAGGCAGGCTCCAGCCAGCAGACACATGGTGCCATCATCCCTTATCTCTCCAGGGGAAAGGAGCAGGCAAATTGCATCCTCCAGGCTCAGGTGCACCAGTGCTGGTGAAAGCTAATTTCTAAAAGCTAATTTCAATGCAGAAGGTTCCCTTTACATTTGTCATTACTATTTATGCTGCCATCAGGCTAAACACAGTGAGTTAACCCTTTGAAAGGGGAACTGTGGTAGATATTTAAAGGAGGAGCAGTAATTCAAGTTTCCTCCTGAAAGAGTGCTTCTCATGGTAGTTCAGCCCCAGACATATTTAAGGGGTTTTCTCCTGCCCAGCCACACTCAGCTCTTAGTTGGGATGGAGGGGCAGCACACCAGGCACAGAGTAGCCAGGCACAATCAGGACATGCCACCAGGAGACCCTCCAAGTGCTCCTGGTGACAGGACCTGGCCATCAACAGGCATGTTACCACATCCTTTGCCACAAGCAGTAATCCTCACACACAGCTGAGTTTCCTGGCCTTTGGGGACAGTTGTGCTCCTGGCAGGTGCCACAGTCCCCACGTGCAGATCCTGCCAGCCCTTCCCTCCCCAGTCCCTGCACTGCTGCACTGCCTGACACTCTCTCTTCTCCTGTACAGTTCTCCAAGGAGAAATACATCCTTGACTCATCACCAGAAAAGCTTCACAAGGAGCTGGAAGAGGAGCTGAAGCTGAGCAGCAGCGACCTGCGCAGCCATGCTTGGTACCATGGCCGCATCCCCCGGGAGGTGAGATGGGGAAGGTGGGTGGCTCTGGGCACCCTTTAGTTGGAATGCTGTGGGAGAACACTCTGAGGCCACACAGAACCAGCCTGTTCTCATGGGAAACATCTGGTCAAGGGCTTCATTAGCACTGAGCTGCCTGATTTTGCCACTGCAAATGCCCTCTTACGGCTCAGAGCTAGGGGCAAAAGGACCAACCAATGCCCCAAATAACACCCCCAGCAGAGCTTCCACTCATGCCCCGTGGTCCATCCAGCCTGGCTGTGGCTGAGCTGTGCCCTGTCCCCCCGACAGGTGTCTGAGAGCCTTGTGCAGAGGAATGGCGACTTCCTCATCCGTGACTCGCTCACCAGCCTGGGTGACTACGTGCTGACGTGCCGCTGGCGCAACGAGCCGCTGCACTTCAAGATCAACAAGGTGACAGTCAAGTCCAGTGATGGCCATACCCATGTCCAGTACCTCTTCGAGCAAGAGAGCTTTGATAATGTGCCTGCCCTTGTCCGCTTCTACGTGGGCAACCGCAAGGCCATCTCGGAGCAGAGCGGGGCCATCATCTACTGCCCCATCAACCGCACCTTCCCCCTGCGCTACCTGGAAGCCAGCTATGGGCTGGCCAACGGGAAGCATGGGGGATCCCACAGCCCCTCCACCCAGAAAGGGGGACACATCAAGAGGAGGAGCATCACCATGACAGACGGTCTGACCGCAGACAAGATCACCAGGGCTGAGGGGTGCCCAACCAGGTGAGCTTGCAGTCTCCATCCTAGCTCAGCTGAGCAGAGGATCAGCCTCCGGAATGAGGCAGGGCATGCTCAGTCACTGCTCTCTGAGCAGAGGTTGGGGATCAGGGATGGAAGAGGGAGACCAGCAGAGGCATGGGGGGAAGAACCAGTACTGAGCTGGAACTGGGGTTTTCTCCAGGCTGGCTGCCAGCCACGCTGAGCTACCACAGCAGACGCCCAGCGAGCAGACATGACTTTAGCATCGCAGGCCAGAAGCCAGAGAGTGTTTTACAATCACCCAGTCCAGGATTACCAGCATGTCAGGGCTTGTTAGAGCCATGGAGCTGAGCTTTCCCAGGCAAACATGAGAGGAGAGTCAGTCCCAGACACTAAGACAGCATTTGTTGTTTGGTTTTGAATGGCCCTTTTAGTTTCAGAGCCCTTTCCATTCAGCATTTGCAAGGAGTTACCAAGCAGAGCTGAAAGCCTGATGGGCAGGAGGAGACTGATGAGTCTGTGCTGATGGAGTCTGCACAGACCCTGGATCACAGCCTTTGCAAAACTGAGCTGTTCACATTAACCCTGGCCAGCTGGGCTTCTCCAGAGGTGGAGGAGGAGCTGGGCCAGCCCTCCTGGGGCTGTATGGCTCACTTTGTATGTCTCACTTTTGGCAGTCCCAGGCTGCCCAGAGCCCTGCAGGGAAGGCAGGGCCGCACACATATCCTCATATGCAACAGCCAAGGGCAGACCCATCTACCCCTGCCTCCAGCAGGACACAGCCTGTTAAGCCAAGCTGCTTTCTCACCACCCTGACCTTCTGAGCCCAAGGGCAGGGTCAGAATCCACCAGCAGAAAACAGGCAACCAACTGTTATGGCTGGGAAAACACTCAGACTTCCAGAAGAGTATGCATTTCCAGAAGAAGAGCCCAGATCTATCAGTCTTTCCTCATCACTCATATTTTCCCTAAACCCCTTATCACCACCACTGCTGTCCCATCCTCCTCCCACTGCTGAGGCACAGTGTTCCAAGACCAAACACATCACAGCAGCGCAGCCCTCACCCACAGCAGGGAGGGCAGTGAATTACTTGCAACTCCTTGCAATCCTCCGTGCACTGAGCATCTTTTGCAGCTCTGTTGGCACATTGTTGCTTGTTATGTAACTTCCCAAATCCCATTTCTAGGTGCTTTTCAGCTTTGGGTCAGAGCAACAGTTCACCTAACCAGCTCAACACAGTTCCCAAGTAGAAATAGAATAACACAGTGTAAGATACCACTTTCCAGCACAACCCTGGAAAACTACTGTCTGTGCCTTCTTTGCTAGATTCCTGCAGCACCCTGGAGTGGGACCAAATCCATCCCATCCCAAATACCTTGGCATGGCATACTGTTGCATTGCTCTGCTCTCCTCTGTAGGACCAGGGTCCCTGCAGGCAGGTCTGTCTCTGATTTGTGGGGGTCAGTGGGTAGTGACCCCTTCTGCTCCCAGCTGCTGCTGCTGGGACTGCCTGCTCACTGCTCCAGCTGAGCTTGTTATGGGTAGTTGTGGAAGGAGGTGATGACCCAAGGGAGGTGTTGGGGGCAGCAAACCCTCATCCCAGCCCCTCTGTGCTTGCCTGGGCCCTGCTTTAAGGGACTAACCTGTGCCCTCTGCCTCCTTCCCAGCGTGTCCCTGCCCCACCATAGAGACATCATTCGCAACTGTGCTGTCAGTGTGGACCAGATCCAAGACCTGCACTCCCCGATGTCCCCCATCTCTGAGAACCCAGCATCACCTGCCTACAGCACAGGTAGGTATTGTGCCTCCATCCCTCTGGGGCTGTGGATCAGCCTGGACTTGGCACTGCTGTGATGCAGGGACCTGAGGAGGGGGACTTCAGGGACAGAACCTCAGCCAGTCCTCGGCTGCATCGTTGTGCAGCTGTCCTGGGACCAGGTTGTTCTGTTTTGGCAGAGGGGTTTTCCCCTGAGCCCCATGTCCCTGGGCTGCTGCATCTGCAGTCCCTATGTGTGTGTGCACCCTCAGGCTTTGATAAGTGTCTCCTCTGCTCCCTACAGTCACACGGCTAAAGCCACACGCCTGCCAAGCATCTGGAATCACTCCAGCCTCTCCAGTCATAAGAAGGTCCAGCGAACCCCAATTGTGCCATGGGAACAACAGCAAACCCCTTCCAGACCCTGCCCACAGCTCCCATTCAACTCCCTGCCATGGGTACGCCCGCGCCTCCCCCTCTCCCTCCGTGAACAGCTACAGCGACCCGGACACGGGGCACTACTGCCAGCTGCACCCCACCTCACCCATCAGCAGGGACCGGCCAGCCCATGACACCAAGCAGCTACCAACAAAGAGCTACGTGGAGAGGCTAAAGGTGGAGGAAGGACAGAGAGGGACTGTGGAGAACAGCTCTGGGGAAGCAGAGGCAGGGCAGAGGCTGAAAGCAGAGCTGGACTTCATGGGCTTTGTGCCCCCCACTATGGAAACAACCTCCTCCTTCAACCCTGCTGCCTTCCAGTCCTTGCTCATCCCACTGGATAACAAACCTCTGGAGATGACTGTGCTAAAGAAAGTCAAAGAGCTGCTGGCAGAGGTGGATGTGAAAACACTGGCCAAACACATCACCAAAGTGGACTGCCTGGTACGGCCAGGGCCTGGAGGGAGGGATGGGCACTGCTGCCCTCCGACTGATCTGGGTTGGCAGGGATTAGTGCATCCCTGAACATCAGGCAGCCCCTGAGCATTGGAGCATCCCTGCTGGGCTCTCCTGTGGTATATCGGCCAGGGCAGGCAGAGGCTGGGCTGGGGCAAGAGGCTGCCCAAGGACACTTCAGCCTCTCCTCAATTAACAAAGATCTAATCAGCTTTCACCTTCCTTGCCAGGTTGCCCGGATATTGGGTGTGACAGTGGAGATGCAGCAGCTCATGGGGGTGAGCTCTGGCATGGAGCTGCTCACCCTTCCCCACGGCCACCAGCTCCGCCTGGACCTGCTGGAACGGTACGGCACAGCATGGCCAAAATGAGCCCACTGGGTTGCCCTGCATGGCCTGGTCCAGCTCCCCAGGGTGTTTCCAGCCTGGCACAGGGGAGGGGAGAGGAGGAGCCCTGTCTAAGCCCACAGAGCATCCCCTCTCCCTGTGCTGACCATGCTCTGTGTCTTGCCCCCTTGGCAGGTTTCACACCATGTCCATCATGATCGCTGTGGACATCTTGGGCTGCACAGGCAGCACGGAGGAGCGGGCAGCCCTACTCCACAAAACCATCCAGCTGGCTGCCGAGCTGAAGAGCACCATGGGGAACATGTTCAGTTTTGCAGCTGTAATGAGCGCCCTGGAAATGACACAGGTACAGGGACACTCCTTTAGTCCTCATGGCCTGGGCTCAGCCCCTTGCTCAAAATGCATCCCTCTCCCTGTGTCCTGTAGGCTCCAAGAGTCATTGGGATGGGTGAGAGGGGAAAATGCCCCGGGTAGGAGGTAAGGGGCCACATCCGCTGGGATGCAAGTAGGGAAGGGGAAGAGCCATCCCCTCCACAGAGCAGACAGCCTAGTCCCGCCAGGATCCAATTGTTTTTCCGTGGTTGGGCTTTTTGTTTTGTGCTGGGCTGTGTTCCTGGGAGGAAATGAATCTGCCCTCCGGTACAATACAAATCAGTCTCAAGGCTGTGGCAGCAGCATCTCCGGGCCACACTGCTCCCTTTGGAAGATGAAAGGAGATTAAAATTCAATTTTAAATCAAGCCCAGCTGGGAAGTCTTGCTTCCTGCTTGCACAAAGGAGGTGGAATGGCTGCCCCCTCCCTGCATCTCATCTTCAAGGCCACTGCGACGCAGGGAAGTTGCTGTCCTGGGGCACGGGCAGGGGGAGAAATGCTAAGCCCAGCCTCAGTGCCAGAGCTGTGCTGTGTCTGGCCACGAGCATTGGTGGAGGAGGCTGGTTTTTGGGAGCAGCAGGCATTGTTGTGTGCAAGGCTGGGGACTATGGCTCCAGGGTCAGGCTGTTCTCCCTGGTGCCTGGAAGTTGTGCTGCCCGCCGCACCTTCTACCTGCCCCATCTCCTTTCAGATTGCCCGGCTGGAGCAGACCTGGATGGTGCTGCGGCAGCGGCACACAGAGGGTGCAATCCTCTATGAAAAGAAGCTTAAGCCATTCCTGA